TGGAAATCTCTTTAATCATATTTTTTTTTAAACTGGCGCCTCCTAAAAAAAGCGGACATCTTGTTTCCCTACCCTGATTTTGAAATAATAGTAGGAATTATATACTATACACCGTATGGTTTTTCTAGAAAGTAAGTAGAATTTGAGGTTGACCAACCTACCCTCAGTCCTATTGAATTTGTAGGCATCTCGATCACCGACCAACCATCTGTCGGAATGGCCGAAGATCTTTTTTGTTGAGGTTTGAACTTTATCGAATAAATATTCTTCCAATAAAAATGATAACCGGTAATGTACAACATGTACTTTCCTAAACAATGCAATACCCATGTATGAGATAGTAGGTAGATCTTGACATTCTGGACATTTTCCCCTGTTGGAAGTTCTCTTTCTATAACGGTTTTCAAATTAATATACAATAATGCATTTTATTCCTATGTTCTATTTTTAGCCTCAGTGGCCATGTTGGTTAGCTAGTTGGATCATCGGACAAGATACTCCAAGGATGATTATTGCCTAGTCTAGTTCCAATTAGCCACGAAGATTCAGAAGAGTGACATAAAACGGATGAAAAGACAACAAATGCAAGATCACTAAATAAAAACCAAAGATTAAGAAATATGAATCGGGTTCCAATTAAACCTGGAAATGTCTTTTGTCAAATTACAAAAATGTTTATTACTTTGAATACTCTAACGTACGTTATTATGTAATTTTTAACTATTTCTTATTCAACATATTTTATCTTTTTCTTTAGATGTTTTAAATGTAGAACAATATGGTCCCTCTGTGTCATTTGAGATTTTTTGATCAGGACCAAAATTAAAGATATAACACTAAATTAATTTGAGTCAAAAGGAGATGTGCGGTATACGTCGATGAGACAACAACCAAACGACATAAAAATGTAAAAAGCCTTCTGGGGAGCATCATACGGTCTTCAAACTTAAACTATCGACAACCCTCAGATGAATCTAAAACTAACCTTCTGAATTCTAAAAAAAAAAAAAACAGTTGTGCATAAATCTAAAAAAAAAAATGTCAAAGATTAAAACATCTTATAAAGAACATTCGTTCGTGGTATTTTTTTCTATATATTTCATCCGGTCTTCAAAATAATTCCAAATATAATTTCTCAATAGGTTTCTGTATAAATTTTAACATCCGATGGTCGCTACTAGTCAATTATTATGAGAACAATGTTGAATTTGTTAAATATTGACTTTCAGTTTCAGATCAAACACTTTATTAATTAACTCTAACAACTTCGTTAGGTGTTCAACATTCAAGTTGACACACCCAGTCTTGTTCTTTTCAACATAATATTCAATAGGTGAGTTGAGCGTCAAAACTTTTTACACGTATACTATTTCTGTAAAAGGCAGGGAGTAACTGTCAAAAGCTTTTTACGGAAATGAGAACATCATATTATAAAAGGTGGGTCTGTATAAAACCTGTGAAAGAATTATATATAATACCACTGGTATGTTTTTTGGATCGCCAGATCGTGTAGATACGACCGGACAGTGAGCTGGCTTTCCGCCTTACTTTAAATTCACATATCAACAAGCTTTCTTCTTCAGTTTAATGCATGAAAAGATAATCGGAACTACTAAAAATATTTAATGCATTGTGTGAATAAGGTAGTTTTAAGAATACTGTCATTAAGAAAAGGGAAATATTATAGATTCCACCATTGCAACAAGTGTGTTACGATATTTCTCCACTCAAAACAGTTAAATTTTAATATTTAAAGCGCGAGGCTTGCCGAGCTCTTTAAATATTAAAATTTAACTGTTGAGAAATATCGTAATACACGAGTTATAGTGGTGGAATCTGTTTCTCTAATGATTTTTATCCTTCCTTTTCAAAGATTTGCAGAAAGTTGTGTTCTTTATATGTGACGTCATCAGGCATGGTCGCCTTTTTCATGAAGTCACAATCGGGAATTCAGAAGAAAACCAAGAAAATTTAACGTCATAATTAAATTTCGACCAATCATTTGCCGAGAACAGATATTTCACTAGTGAGGAGAACATTTTTTTCACAATCGGTTGGGAAATGTGAAAATAGTGACAAAATTAGAGAAATAGGGAGACATGATTTTTGTGAGAGAAAACACACATGTTTGTTCCATGAGTGTTCAGGGGGGAGTGGAGGAGATATTGACACGGGTAATTTGAGTTATAAAAAGAAAAATGGAGGGACGCGTTTTTGTTACAAACATATAATATTAAAAATGTGCATTATTGTCTTGCAAGATATTGATGATAAAAGTCTTCATACGAATTTGTCTAATTTAATTTCAATACAGATTACAAGATGGTCTTTGATAAAAAATGAATACAACACGTTAAAAATGTAATTGCGTCCGAAGCGCTTTTCTGGATTTACCTTCATCAGGAATGCTCAAAGCCGAAAATTTGAAAGCCAAGGATGTATAAAACCGAAACAGTTGAAGAGCTTTATAATCCAAAATGACCTAAAATTATAGCCAAATCCTTCTAAAGCCAACTTTGCCTGAGGGAGTTGAAACCTTAGTTTCTTTATAATTTCAAAATTTATAAACAGTCAAATTTAGAAAAGTTATTAATCATGTCAGTACCAAAGTACCGACTACTGAGCTGATGATACCCTCGGGGACTGAAAGTCCACCAGCAGAGGTATCGACCCAGTGCTGTAAAAAATGAAAACAACACGTTATAAAGATATTAAGCTTATATTTACCAGTATCGTCAACAGTTTTATGTGAATAAAAAAAAACGTAACTCAAGTTCTCTGTATGACAATGTAATGGCAATGGACAAAATCTCAATTGCACACGCGAAATAACAATTAGTCTAAGACATATCAACTAAATATATTGGGGTTTTGTTTTCATTTTATATTTCCCACGTAAGTGTTTCTCATGTTGATTTTGTTGTACAGTGTATATATTACTCCTTATATGAACATAATATGCTTAATTGAATTATTGTCGTTGAATCTGGTTTAATGTACAGTGTATCAAAGGTTTCAATTCTGCATTTTACTGACAAATACGACTTAAAGTGTTCCTTTCCCAAAACGGTCTGTAATAGTATTACGGTTTTTCTACTGCAAGTTTGAGTTCGAGTAATTTATATAGAGATATAAACCAATTGCAGGCTTTGTTATTCAATATGTAGAAATATTTATTGGTGTCCGTTACTGATAACATTTCATAACTCGTAAATAATTGAGTCAGTTCGAAATGTTTTGTGATTGTTATCATGATATCATACCATTTACTCACGATAATGGGAGTTGCGAAGCCTAGGGATCATATTTATATTACTAATTTTAAAAAAATCCTTAATATCACAGTATTTTTTTTAATACGGGCTGGCTTATATGGAAAATAAGTTTAACAAAAAGATTCAAATGTCGTTCAATATATGAAAGCATCATGAAACACAAAAGACGGATATCCCAACCTTGTCATGAGCCTGTTGTTCAGTGGTTGTCGTTTGTTGGTGTGGTTCATAAGTGTTTCTCGTTTCTCGTTTTTTATATAGATTAGACCGTTGGTTTTCCTGTTTGAATTGTTTTACACTAGTCATTTTGGGACCCTTTATAGCTTGCTGTTCGGTGTGAGCAAAGGCTCCGTGTTGAAGGCCGTACTTTGACGTATAATTGTTAACTTTTGTGACTTGGATGGAAAGTTGTCTCATTGGCACTCATACCATATCTTCTTATTTATATTTGAATTAAAAAAAGAACAATCTGCTGCGTTAAAAGGCAAATAACTAATCTGTTGTCGACATTGCCGTATTAATTCTTCCTAAACTGACTACATCTTACCCAAGGGTCGCCTGGAGATATGGGGTATACACAAATGAGACAGCAACCCAACGACACAAACCTTAAAACATCTAGAGGCCAACACGGAGTTTTTAACAATAGACAGTTGGCTATACAATACCAATGTTATGCTCTAAATTGTTCCTATATAAAAGTTGTGAACAAAAACAGAAACAACCAAGTTTGAAAGATTTGTTGATCTGTTCATATAGTTTCCGCTATTTTACCGGGACATATACATGGGCCTTAAAAAACCCTGAATATAAAGTAAGATGCTTAAATGCGAATTTGCTTTTTATACATCACCTGGCCAGCATACTGATTTCATTCACTCTGCATTTTTCCGCTCATGTGACGATAATGCAAAAGCAACAGTGTATCCCATAACGTTGTGATTTTGTTATAATACTCATTGAAATTCGTTTTAAAGTATATTTTTTCTCCAAATTTCTTTAAAAAAAGTATCCATACTCAATAAAGATAAAAAATACAAAGAATCGACAAGTAAAGCATTAAATAAATGCCACACAGTATATATTTGGACATATGCGATTTTCGTTAACTGACATTACCTACAAAGAAAATTTATAGGTTTTTCTCTCAGCGACATAAGGTTTGTACTTAAACTCTTATTGTATATGCAATATACACCTTTCAAGTACCGCTGTAACATTTAAATATCCAGATTAGGCGTAATAAAAACCATGATGAATTTGTTTGGACGAACTTTAACTTAAATGTTTATATGTGTTCGAGTGCCTATTATGTATGAAGATACAGAAATTAAACGTTCAAATGATCATTTCTTTTGTTAAGTAAGACTTAAAGATCAAAAGTGATTCAGATTTTCAAATGATTGATACATGTAATTAGCATATAAGTTATTAATGTTTAAGATACGCCATAGGTGTGAAACGGGTTTTGTGTGCTTTATCTTCCATTTGAGATAAAAACTGGATAAAAACAAAGCAACTGAAAAACAACACAAATTCTGTGCATTTTGGAGTTACATAAAATACAATACACTAGACTTGCAATGTTTATATTATATGGGAATTATTTTATTCAGTAGCAAGATCTTGCAACTGCAAATACAAATACGGATTTAATATAGGTATTTCTACTATTTTGTTGGTTTTTTTTCAAATGAAAAAAAGTAAAGGCAATTTTGATAAGATATGGAACACCATGTACCGCTGGATAACACCACTTCAGAATTGCATAGTATAAAAGGAATGACACAGAAGAATGTTGCAGAAAAGGTTTTGCATCAAAAACTTCAAAACCAGATTGATAAACAAAAGAAGGCATTTGTAAAGCAGCACTCAAAGGATGAAAACGAACTGAAACTGATTCTACAGAGACTACAACTTGAGCAACAACTAATTGATACTGATGTCAATGATCTATCAGGTAGGGACAAACCCTTGGGTTGAGTTAAAAGTTTATTAAATTGTTTTGATGTTCTAAAATTGTCTATAGATATGGGAAAAATAAACATACGGGTAAACATTGCCAAATACTAAATTTGTTTGTGCCTGTCCAGTCAAGAGAGTCAAATCAGTATAACTTACGATTAATTTTTATCACAACATTTTTGTGAAAAGAAACCAAGAATTATTATCTACTTCTTTGTAATTAAATAGACATATACGGAAGTTGTATTTAAATGTTCTACAGTTGGTTTACTTTAAAAAAATAACAGCCTACCTTATAGGTCTGTTTTCATTGTTACTACATTTCTTGGTTTACCTGAATATAAGAATAAGGTGATGTGGCTTGATTGCAAAGAAAAAACTATCCACCAGAGTCCACAAGACGTGAATGTAGATGTTAGCAACTATAGGTCACCGTAAAGCCTTTAACTATGAGAAAATACCAAACCAAAAATCAGCTATAAAAGGCCCCATTATGAGTCTGTTTTCAGTATAAAACATTTGGTTAACCTGAAGCCTTATACAGCTTACATTATGGGTCTGTTTTCAGTATAAAACATTTGGTTTACCTGACGCCTTATACAGCTTACATTATGGGTCTGTTTTCAGTATAAAACATTTGGTTTACCTGACGCCTTATACAGCTTACATTATGGGCCTGTTTTCAGTATAAAACATTTGGTTTACCTGAACCTTTATACAGCTTACATACTGGGTCTGTTTTCATCGTTACTACATATTTGGTTTACCGGAAGCCTTATACAGCTTACATTATGTGTTTGTTTTCATCGTTACTACATTTGGTTTACCTGAACCTTTATACAGCTTACATATTGGGTCTGTTTTCATTGTTACTACATTTGGTTTACCGGAAGACTTATACAGCTTACATTATGTGTTTGTTTTCATCGTTACTACATTTGGTTTACATGAAGCCTTATACAGCTTACATTATGGGCCTGTTTTCATTATTAAAACATTTGGTTTACCTGAACCTTTATACAGCTTACATATTGGATCTGTTTTCATTGTTACTACATATTTGGTTTACCGGAAGCCTTATACAGCTAACATTATGGGCCTGTTTTCATTGTTATTACATATTTGGTTTACCGGAAGCCTTATACAGCTTACATTATGTGTTTGTTTTCATCGTTACTACATTTGGTTTACCTGAACTTTTATACAGCTTACATACTGGGTCTGTTTTCATTGTTACTACATTTGGTTTACCGGAAGCCTTATACAGCTTACATTATGTGTTTGTTTTCATCGTTACTACATTTGGTTTACCTAAACCTTTATACAGCTTACATATTGGATCTGTTTTCATTGTTACTACATATTTGGTTTACCGGAAGCCTTATACAGCTTACATTATGTGTTTGTTTTTATCGTTACTACATTTGGTTTACCTGAACCTTTATACAGCTTACATACTGGGTCTGTTTTCATTGTTACTACATTTGGTTTACCGGAAGCCTTATACAGCTTACATTATGGGTCTGTTTTCATTGTTACTACATTTGGTTTACCGGAAGCCTTATACAGCTTACATTATGGGCCTGTTTTCATTAATATTACATTCTGTATTTGGTGTACCGGAAGCCTTATGCAGCTTACATTATGTGTTTGTTTTCATCGTTACTACATTTGGTTTACCTGAACCTTTATACAGCTTACATACTGGGTCTGTTTTTATTCTTTCTACATTTGGTTTACCGGAAGCCTTATACAGCTTACATTATGGGTCTGTTTTCATTGTTTTGTTACAACATATTTGGTTTATCGGAAGCCTTATACAGCTTACATTGTTGGTTTGTTTTCAATGTTACTACATTTGGTTTACCGGAAGCCTTAAACAGCTTACATTGTTGGTCTGTTTTCAATGTTACTACATTTGGTTTACCGGAAGCCTTAAACAGCTTACATTGTTGGTCTGTTTTCAATGTTACTACATTTGGTTTACCGGAAGCCTTATACAGCTTACATAGTTGGTCTGTTTTCAATGTTACTACATTTGGTTTACCTGAAGCCTTATACAGCTTACATTATTTACAACCCTATAAAATTACAAAAAGATGCATTCAACTCTTATATAAATTACATATTTATGATGCAACCGGGAAATTACGGGTTATATCATATTGTTTGTGTTGTTTTCCTATGCACTGTTGTGACGTTGTCAAGGGAAGCACGTGCTGTCAGGAATGGAACTTTTTATTGGGAAATAAAATGTAATTTTGGAATGCTTATCAATTGTTTTTAGCCAATGAAAAGTATGGATTCCTGTGACACACACATTGTAATGCAATTATTGTAATATAAAGTGCAAATGCTTCACTCTGTAGAGATTTTCGATGCACGTATCATCTTAATTAACCAAGACTTTCTACATGTTGTAGACGTTATAGTTTCTTAAATGTTACATAAAAAAATATTTGTATGATGATATTAATCCGACTTAAACAACTCCCATGTTAATTTATAAATCCTCAAACTCAGACATCAATAAATCAGGAGATCTAATTAAAATCTTAATCTTCTTTTATTTCCCTTTATGGGCAATTATTGATGTGTGTAAGTGTGTTAAAAAACATTATGCGTGTCATCTTTAAGTATAATGGACATCTCAAACAAAAAGTGTATGAAGAAGTTATAAATTAAGTGTTAAAGTCAAAGGCCGATGCCAATGCCGGTGGAGGTTTTCTCGCCGAGGGCATCAACAGGCCAGTATTCAGCACTTCTTTGTTATCATTGATATGATGATAATTATAGATAAGCTGTTTACAAAACTTTGCATTTTTCAAATTACTAAAGATCTTCTACCACAGGAATATAATTTAGCTGTTATTTGGCAAAACCTTTCGGAATTTTGGGTCCTCACTGCTCTTCAACTTTTTACTTTTAATTATTTGACCTTTTTAACTTTTTTGATTCGAGCGTCACTGATGAAACTCGCATCTGGCTTTAAAAATATTTTTCCTGGTATCTATGATGATCGAGTTAATTGACACAAACGAAATGATAGTATGTGTGACTTGTATCTGGGACATCTTTGTGTTCTTTGTATCCATAAGTAACTATGTGTATATAAACTGCAGAATCCGAAAAGGTCCCAATGATTTTTCAGAACTTCGTGCAATGCATAAAAAATTATGATGAAATGAATAATTAACGTCCAGCGGCAAATTAATTGCATATTCAGGACGGGAACATGTTAATGTATTATGAATATTAGCACTGGTCTGTACAAGACCAAAACGCTGAGACGGATTTTTAACAGGCTAGTTCACAAGGTACCAGTCCGCAGAAAAACATATCAGCCTTCCCGGACACATTTTTCTGACTCCGAGCCAACCAGTCTTAGCTCTTTCTCCTAAATGCCGCGTGCTTAGCGGAGAAGTAGAAAATGCCAATTTAAAGTTTGATCCGGCCGAGTTCGAACAAACAAGTTCCTGCACTCCGAGGGGGTCATGAAGGAAAAACGTTATATGTAAAACTTAAGCATTGCCTGGTCTGAACTATACTAATCCTTTTTTTTGGCAGTTTATACAATAAGAAATAAAGTTTTATTTTAGATACAATTTCAACATTTAATACGTATAGAAAACTGTTGTAGTCAGCAGTTCAAAACTTATACGTTTATTTATAGAAAAGAACCTATCATAAAATATTACAAATTATGGTATCTCAACATTCAGAAACATTGTTTTATCTTTGATATAAACTTTGGGTACTCTTAAAGAGGGACGAAAGATACCAGAGGGACAGTCAAACTCATAGATCGAAAACAAACTGACAACGCCATGGCCAAAAATAAAAAGACAAACAGACAAATAATAGTACAGATGACACAACATAGAAAACTAAAGACTAAGCAACACGAACCCCGCAAAAAACTGGGGGTGATCTCAGGTGCTCCGGAAGGGTAAGCAGATCCTGCTCCACAAGTTGCACCCCTCGTGTTGCTTATGTTATTACAAATCCGGTAAAAAGTATAATTCGGTAAGTCACATTCGTGAAAAGGGAAGGGTATTGTACGTAGTTACGACATAAGAAACATATCCGATATCATCTGTGAAACGGTTATTCCATAACGGTCAACCAACTCGTGATGGCGTCCGTAAAATTTACGGAGTGATGATTTCAACTTCACCATTTGGAACTCTTGGCTTAATAGCTTCCTTGTGAGCAGCAATCCTCTATCAAGGAAATCATGATAGGAAACACAAGCCCGGGAATATCGTATCAATTGGGAGATATATACTCCGTATGCAGGCGCTGCTGGAATGTTGCTACATAGAAATGGAAAGTTCACAATTGGGAAGCTGAAATCATCTCTGTTGTCGTAAAGTTTTGTTTTCAACCGACCCTCATTGTCAATTTCTAGATGTAAGTCAAGATATGAGGCAGACTTAACTGTATCTGTAGTATCCTTTATCTCTATTTCGATGGGATAGATTTGTTCAACATAGTCACCAAATTTTGTATTATTTAATGAGAGAACATCATTTATATAGCGGAACGTAGAGTTAAAGGATATTGCTAACTTCTTATCTTTCTTCCTAAGAAGTTCCTGTATGAAGTCAGCCTCATAATAATAAAGAAACAAATTGGCAAGAAGAGGGGCACAATTGGTTCCCATTGGAATTCCGACAGTCTGTTGAAAAACACGTCTTCCAAACGTAACAAATATGTTGTCAATCAAGAAATCAAGCATCTTGATAATGTCAGTTTCAGAGAATTTTTTGTTTGAATCAGGGTGATTCTTTACAAAGTAGGATTTATCCCTCCCCAAGACAAGATACTTGTATCTACGTTCGCCATTCTTTTAATGAAACAAAGTAATACCAACTCTTTCAATTTGTCTTTTAGTTTGGAATGGGGAATACTTGTGTAAAGTGTAGAAAAGTCAAATGTTTTAATACTTGTGTATTCCGACAGTCTGTTGAAAAACACGTCCTCCAAACGTAA